GCTGCTTCTATCCAGGAGTTATGTGACATCCACACCAGCACAGAAAGAAGAATGGTAAGTGGAAGATAATGAAAAACAAATCTATTAGCCAAGCAGTCAACTAACCACATCCAAATGATGTCCAGTGTGTCCAGAATCCAGGCTCTGGGGCAGCCCTCCACCACTCCAGAGCCCCTGACATCTACTTCAGCACTGCAGTGATTGGCTGTCCTCCAGTGATTGGCTGAAGTGATTGATGAGTTCATTGTGTGTAGCCAGCTTTACCTTCCAATGAAAAATCCATGCTGGTTGTGGTGGTACACACCTGAAGTTCTCTCTGCTTCAGAAAGAACTGAAATGAATGCTTGGTATGATGGCCTTATGGCACTATGAAGATAACCATTATAAACATACATTTTGACTATAAGGGTCACTGTAAGGTCATTCCTTGCAAGTTTCAGGCTCTGGAACTCAGGTCAGCAATGACTCCTCAATCCCTCAAATAAGATTGCAGCTGGTCCCAAACCCTGACCACAGTGATCATCTGAGTAGGATACTTTAAGGAAAACAAAACATTCCTACCCCAAACTCCTCAGTAATTTATAATCTCAAAGGGGGTATCTATATTCTTTTGCTAGTTTTGCTATCTCTTTCCATATGGTATCTTGTTTTTATCTGACACAGAATATTTTCTCCTAGAATGATTTTCGAATGAAATCTTTACTTCACAATCCTTGCCAAACTACCTTTAACACGTTTATTTTCTGTCTTGTAGTGTGCTCTCAACAAATCTTAGGATCTAGTTAGTGGGATGCAATGCATTTTTACTGTCCCCTGCTTTATGAAGATAAAGTCATTTCTGTCAATCCTATCATCCCTTGTTCTTGCTCTGTAGGGAGAGCTTCATTCTTTCATTGTAGGAAAGACTTTACAGTTTCCTCCTGATTATTGTCTTTTCTAAGAGAAGTTTTGAAAACTCAAGCCTTCCCTGATACTAGATTGTATGTTATGTGAAGATGTTGGCTTGTTCTACAAACAATGGAATGGAGAAAATGTCTTGCTCTCGATGTCAGGTAGAAGTGAGTCCAAGTAGAGATTACAATTACATGCTCTCTTCTCCCCAAACTTGTATTAATGGATATGAGTTTAAATAAGGCAAATGGTAGGCCTCTTTTCTGGGTCAATTGTGCATTCTCCAATCAGACTTTTTTTTTTTTTTTTTTTGCAGTACTGAAGTTTGAACTTAGAGTCTGTGTTCTGTAGCCCTTTCTGAGCCATTCCACCTTCTATCTCTTCCTTCTCTTCCTTCCTTCTCTCCCTCCCTATGTGTTTCTCTCTGTGTCTCCCTCTCTTCCTCCCTTTCTCTCTTGTTCTTGTCTTTCCCTCCATGCTAATGCTCAGCCTCAGATAGTGATTCTCCTGCCACCTGATCCTCCTACTTCTGCTTCCTGAGTATTTTGTGATCACAGGTGTTTTCCACTATATCCAGCTCTTTTTTTGTTTCTTCAGTTTCATTCTCAATATGGGACCAAAGGGCCTAATATTCTTGTATCTAAAGTTGATAGCATTTCACTTTAAGCTGTCATGTGGCCAAATGCACGAGGGAATAAAAAGCCTCTAGTGATAATCAGAGAGATTCAGATCTTCACTTTAGTACTTTCTAGATGTCCCAGCATGAATACATTACATTTTATACATACTGCATATGTATAAAATGAGATGGTATTCATCCATTGATCCAGTATGCGATGAAAACCTTGTGATCGGGCTGGGAAGGTGGCTCAGTGGTAGAGCACTTGCCTTGCATGCTCGAGGCCCTGGGTTCGATTCCTCAGCACCACATAAGCAAAAAGAAAAAAGCCGGAAGTGGCGCTGTGGCTCAAGTGGTAGAACACTAGCCTTGAGCTGAAGAGCTGAGGGACAGCGCCCAGGCCCAGAGATCAGGCCCCACGACCGGACCCAAAAAAAAAAAAAAAAAGAAAACCTTGTGATCTTGTGATGGGCTCTGCTTCCCTTCTGGAGTATCTGGTAGTAGGAAAAAAGAAAAAAATAATTGCCTCACACAGTGTGGAGGCATCAAATGAAAATAAAAATCATTAAGTTTTAGCACTGTGCCTGGTATTCCATTCTAAGGGTTGAGGTGGCCCACATTGTATCCCAAGCTTGGCAGAAGACCGACTTAGCAAACTGTGATGGAAGCTTCAATGGTCAGAGGGTGTGGTGGCCTCTGCTGAATCTTAAAACAATTATGTACATCAATTTCCCGGTTTTTCAGCTTTTAGAGAGCAATGAGATCTTTCCTGGAGTCTCCTACAGTTATCGCTGACAGACAACAAATGATTAGAAGAACTTTTAACCTTCAGTTGCTTGATTTTCAGCACAGGTTGGAGGGTGTGGGACCTCTTCTCTGGTGTTTTTCTTACAGTGGGTGGGTTTTAGCACTTGCTTAATCATTGGATGTGGTATTTGAGGAATGTGACATGGTGAAAGTATCATCTATGTATATTCTCCAGCAATAATTGCATTTCATAATTTGGAAAAACTTGCAATTAAATTCTTTTTCATAAGAAATCTCTCAGAGGTACTTGATAGAAAAGCATTTATTGTTGCACACAAAATAAGATAGTGTGGGTGTTAGATCTCACTCTTATTCTAGTTAGTTGGCTTGTGGCAATTTAATGGGACTAAATCTCAGTTTCTACTGTACAAAATCACAACAGTTGTGATGGTACACTAAATAATGCACGTACAAGCTAGGTCCCAGGGGACCCTGTAATCCTGGCTACATAGGAGGCTGAGACCTGGAGGATTATGATTTGAATCAGCCTACGTGGAAAAGTTCTTGAGATTCCATCATCAAAATGACCAGCAAAAAGCTGGCTGGAGGCATGGTTCAAGTGATAAGATCACCAACCAAGCAAGTAAGGCAAGGAGGTTTGAGGCCCTAAGAAAAAAAATCTCCTTTGACACTTTATCAAAATGAATACCAGGAAGCTGAAATATATATTACCTGAGGGAGGAGCTTAATAAGAAGGGGGTTAATGGAGAAGGGGAAGGGTGAATGAATACATATACTCAGTGTATATATGTGAAAATAAAGCCAGGTAACTGGAGAGGATGGTTGGGGTTGTGAAATTAGGGAGAATGAATAAAGGAGTGACATTTATCAAAATGCTTTCTCCTCAAAAACTGACATGGTGAATTGAAACCCCTTTATATTACTACTTAAAGCTAATAAGAAAATAAATATAAAACATTAAACAGATAACAATGCTTGAACAGAAGTTAACATAGTACCTGGCATAATACTCATTGCTGACAATGGTGGTGGTTAGTTTTAATTATTCAATTCTTTAAAATAATCCAACAAAATGTAAAATCTAAAAAATGTAAAGAACTAAGGCTGGGTACCAGTGGCTCATGCCCACCATCATATCTATTCAGGAGGCTGGGATCTAAGGATCATGGTTCAAAGCCAACCCAGGCAGGAAAGTCAGTGAGACCCATCTCCAATTAACAGCCAGAAAAGTGGAAGTAGAACTGTGGCTCAAAGTGGTAGAGCAATTAGCCTTGAGAAAAAATTGCTCAGAAATAGTGCTCAGACCTTGAGCTCAAGCCTCATGACCAATAAAAACAAAAGTAAAGCACTAAAAACCCTTATTCCAGTTTGTATATTCAAATGGATATTAGCGTCATCTGAGTTGTTCATAATTGATTTCTTTTTTTTTTTGGGGGGGGTCCAGTTGTGGGGCCTGAACTCTGGGCCTGGGTGCTGTCCCTCAGCTCTTCAGCTCAAGGCTAGCACTCTACCACTTGAGCCACAGCGCCACTTCCGGCTTTTTTCTTTTTGCTTATGTGGTGCTGAGGAATCGAACCCAGGGCCTCATGCATGCAAGGCAAGTGCTCTACCACTGAGCCACCTTCCTAGCCCCATAACTGATTTCTTATATACTAGTATTCAGACGGATCCCATTGGATGACGGAATGACAAAACCATCAGGACCAGCTAATTAACTTAAAATTTCACCCCTGAAGAAACAATTTCAAAATGTTTTGCTGTCTTAGTTGGGTGAGGACTTTGGGAGACTTTAGAAGGTTTCTTTGATTATATTATAAGACAACTTAGGAAGGTATAGAAAGATATGTTTGAGGGGGTTATAGAAGATTGCCTTCACCAGCATCCATCTCTGCCCAGATGTAGTATGTGAGAGACAGAGAGGGGGTCGAGGGCATGGATCAAGGTGTGGTAGATGTGCAGAGCACACAAGGTGAGGGCACACGTGACAGTGTGTGTGTGTGCACATGTGTGTGTGTATGAGAAATGGATATATCTACAAGAACTATGGATGAGCTATATACACACATACAGCTGTACAGCTATGATATATATTTATATATCTGTATCTATCTATATGTACATATGTGTATCATTGATACCATTTTTAGTTTTTGGAAAGTTTGGGTGTTGACTAGTTTTCCCCTTTATTGGGTTTCAAGAAAACTCTTTTCACTTTCTGTTGAAGTGAGCCTTTGGCTATCTAAACTTGTGTGTGAGAACACAGTGTAAGAGTGAGCAAGAATGTGTTTTATCAGGAGCAGGTGGGTGTTTGGTGACATGCCTGGGTTTGACATCTACAATTATGTTTCTTCTGGAAGAACTTCTCTTTAGTGAGAGAAAGTACAGGGAAAACCCTTCCCCGTACTTGAGAGAAAGGATCTGTGAGAAGATCAGAGGCCCTGGGCCTCAGCTTGATTCTTTAGTTCACTTTTGACATTAGCATGTCAAAGTGCCATGCTTTTAGATCATTGTTTTCTGAGCCCCAACACCATATTATCCTACTTAGAACTGCTGATATAGCACAAGGAGGTTATTCTTTTTGCTGGTGTTTTGACATTGTTGCTACTAGTGTAAAGTTAAATATTGAAAATTTTCTTTCTTTTAGAAGTGAGGGTTGGTAATAATAAGGAATTTTCTTCCATTGGCAAGGGGTAAATTTCATATTCCTATTGTTTTTTCCTAGCTTGTTCGATTTGGTTTAGGTAACCAGTTGGTGGTTACTTTCAAGGAAGAAAACATTGTTTCATTTAAGCACTTGTTTTTGAAAGGATATTCTGGTGTAGATGAAGATGACTATAGCTGTAGTATTTATACTGAAGAGGACGCCTATGAGAGCATCTTTTTTACTATTAATCAGGTAAGAGCTTTCATACACATGATCTGTACTTGATACTTGTCTTTGCAAACAAATGAAAATTATACATATATCAAAAATTTCAATGAAATTGTGCATTGTCTTCCAAAAATGCTTATTATTTCTAGAGCTTTATAACAGTGGTTTTCTATTTTGAGTTAAAAAAAAATTACCCTGTCTTAATTTATTTCTTCATAGCTACTAACTTGGGGGAGATTATCAAGTGGCTAAGAGAGTTAGAATGTCAAATTTGATGAAGATCTGAAACCCATTCTAAAAGTCTATGGTGGTCTCAGTTTTGACTTGTTAGTGTTAGGAAACCTAGCTAAATCTTGAGGATATGAAATATAATATAGTTGTAGCTAGATAGGTATAAGAAAGTAGATTTGTTAGTCTGAAGAAACATTTAAGGGAGAAAGACTGTTTCACTATTTATTGGAGTCAGTGGTATATAGAAAGCACTAGTCTAGGCCTCGGTGGTATAACTAAATAAAACAAAATCCAAAATCCTTGTTCTTTTTAGAGGAGAGAGATAGCCAAGTGAAATATGTAGTATTAAGTAAGTTTTAGCTTCCACAACACATGTGGATACGTAGAGCTGAGTTTTCTTGCAATTGTGGTAAGAATACAGCTACCTTGACCAATCTTCATGGTGCCTTGGCTAGAGAGAGATTCCTTTACTGTGGAGGGACCTTAATTAAAACTAAGTAAAGATCATGCTAGAATAGTTTAAGATTGGCGGATACAGCAAGGTGGGGGCTGGGGAAGCAGTGTGAAAGATTCTTGGAATTGTTAATAGATTAGATCTTCAAACGAGTATTTATTTGGTTTGTGGGGAGGGGGCTGGTCTTGAAATAGACAAGAGTTCTTTGCAAGTTTTATGTTCCTGAGTCAAAATTCCCTGTGTAATAAAATCGTATTGGTGAAGATGGAGATGAGTATAGCTCTTCAAGTACAATTAGGCAAATAGTAAAGTGTTAAGATAGGCTGTGGTATGGGAGCCTCCATCATGTGTCCAAAAGTGAGAACCACTGAGGAATGAAACCAGGAAGGAGATGGAGAAGTAGGTGGGCACTGGATGGATATTTGCAAGTTTCTTTAGAAGTATCATCATCATCATCATCATCATCACTATTATTTTTATTATTGCCAGTGCAGGGCCTTGAACTCAGGACCTCTCTTACTTGGCTTTTTTACTCAGTAAGGTTGGTGCTCTGCCATTTGAGCCACAACTTCACATCTAGCTTTTTGCTGGTTAATTGGAGATAAGAGTCTCATGGACTTTTTGCTCAGGCTGACTTCAAACCTTGAGCCTCAGATCTCAGCTCCTTGAGTAGCTAGGATTACAGCTGTGAGCCACCAGTGCCCAGCAAAAGTATGTTTTACTTACTTATATTTTATATTTATATTTTTAAAGGACAGACATAATTACATTTCATGTATTTATGGGGTACCGTGTGACAATTTGGTATGTTTGCAATTTTCCTTTGCTTCACTGAGGTGATAATTTGAATCAAAACCTGATGGAGCAGGTAGATACGGAAGTTCCAGGGAGAAAGAACAGCAAAGGCCAGAGGCAGAAGTATAGCTGGCAAGCTCCAGAAACTGCCTGGAGGCAGACCAGTGTGACTTTGGGACCCCAGTATGTGATAAAGACTGAGAGATAAGACAGGACCTTGGCTGTGGCTCTCAGGGAGACAGGATCCATAGTCAGCACTTAATGTAGTGGAGTGTTGCATGAAGCAATGTGTCCCTACACAACCTGAGAAGATTACTTTGAGGTATTTTTACTACAGAGGACCACAAGGGGCATGATGTAACTATAAAAAGTAGCTCAAAGGGCATTTCATATGCTGCAACAATTGGTTAAACTCTTAAAAGCTTGTGTGTGTGTGTGTGTGTTTAAAACTTTAAAAAAATCTTTTTGAGTCAGTCCTGGGGCTTGAACTCAGGGTCAGCACACTGTTTCTGATCTTTGTTGCCCAAAGCTAGGGCTCTCCCACTTGAGCCACAGCTCCATGTCTAACCTTTTGGTGGTTAATTGGACTTAAGAGACCTGCAGATTTTCCTGTCTGGGTTGACTTTGAACCATGATCTTAGCCTCCTGAGAAGCTAGGATTGCAGGCCATGAGCCACCAGTGCCTAACTGCTTTCTTTTTAAATAGTATCATCGCCTAAAGAACATCTCCCTGGCACCTCTTGATTATGGTGAAAATGAAGAGAAGAGAATTGGCTTAAAAATCTGCAAGCAATATTATAAGAAGGGGACCACATTTTCTTCTAATGAGAACCTGACTATTGACAGTGACGTCGAGATAGGTAACAGGGTGACCATCTTGTCATATGCCTTTCTCTGTTATCCCCAGTGATCAGAGCAAAATGGCTCCCATGTGCTGGCAACTCCGTGGAACACCTTGCCTCTGGGCAAGGATCCTTATCCAGGCTGTGCCTGTCACATTTGCCTGTAAGGACTTTGGCTCAGGAAACTGTGTGATAACAGCACATAGTCATCATTTTGGTAGATCTCTTTGGTAGAACTCAAAAGTACTGGTTTGTGGGTTCATGCTTGTTTGGGTTATTTTCCCAATAAGGGAATGATTATCCTTCCTTCCTTCCTTTTCCTTCCTTCCTTCCTCTCTCTCTCTCTCTCTTTTTCTTTTTAAGAAAACTGGGTGTGTATGTATCAAATGAGATAAGGAAGTAAAAATGTTTTGCATCCTTGTTTTTATTAGTTATAAAATATAAAAATGCTTTTCAAAGGTGATTATTAACTGAATATCTCTTTTAGGAGATTCTTAGCAGAAAGTTAGCAGTTGATCATGTTAGAACTATTTTAACCCATTCTGTTGAGAATGTCAAAGAACACTATTTATAAATGCAATATATCTGACTTAGAACTTGAGGGTTTTGTATTTTATTCAGTAAACTCAAGGCACTCACTGTTACCTGCAGTGGGGTTGCAAGTAACCAAGCAACCAACTAGGAAGCCTAGTAGCATTTAGAACATGGAATTGTGCTAGTACTGGGTCTTGAACATTAGGCCTTGTGCTATTATTGCTTGGCCTTTTTCCGCTAGAGGCTGGTACTATACCACTTGAGCCACACCTCCACTTCTGGGTTCTTGCTGGTTAATTAGAGATAAGAGTCAGATTTCTCTGCCTGGGCTGGCTTTGAATCACGATTCTCAAATCTCAGCCTCCTGAGAAGCTAGGATTACAGGCATGAGCCTGTAGAGCCATGCTACAATGGTTTTTATGAAATGAATGAACCATATAGTTCATTTGGTCATAAATGACTCTTTGATCTTAGGGTATCTTGGTAACACAGAAAAGGACATTGTTGTAGGACAGAGGTTTTACCTCTGTTTCTGACTGCCTGTTCAGAATATCTACATGCACATATGTGTTCTAGGTTCTTGATTCTGAAAGATGGAGCCCCTAAGCCATGCATTGAAGCCATGTGCTGCTTGGTTCCAGGCTGCCATCAGAGACCCCTTTGTGGAGAGTTGCTTGGTTTTGCAGCTGGAAATGCTGAACTGTTGCTCCTTTCAGCCATGTATCCTGTGACTCTGTGAAAGATGGCTCAAAGCCAGTCTGGTCCCCCCCTGCTTCATGTAGGCCCTGCCTCGTGTCATGTATTTGCCTTTTTAAATGTGTCACTCAAATTCGATACAACAGACAATGTTTTCCACTGGTTCACATGCTGTTTTTCTCAACTGACTTATGAAAAATTGGTAAAAGAAATTTGGCCCAAGTCAATATCTGGAGGCTGCCACCAGACAGTGGTGCTATTGTTCATTTTTTCTCTGTAAGAATATGAGGCCATTTTGAATAAATGGAGAGAGGTTGATTGATTTGACTTTAAGCAGGTGAATTGTATTTTTTGCCTTATTAAGCATAATTCATCAAGAGTCTTTCAATAGCTGGGCGCCGGTGGCTCACACCTGTAATCCTAGCTACTCAGATCTGAGGATCATGATTTAAAGCCAGCCTGGGCAGGAAAAGTATGTGAGACTCTTATCTCCAATAAACTACCAGAAAACCAGAAATGGCACTGTGGCTCAAGTGGTAGAGCGCTAGCCTTGAGCTGAGGAGCTGAGGAACAGCACCCAGGCCCAGAGTTCAAGCCCCATAACCGACACACACACACAAAAAGTCAGTGTATTAAAAAGGTATAAATATTTTAAGAAATTCTTGGTACTCGAATTTAGGCCATCTTTTCTTAGATATATTGGGTGATAATAAATATGAATTGAGTTTGGCTTCATTGAGGAGGCATTAAGGCATTATAGTTTGAGTAAGGTGAATTGATCAGTGCTCTCCCAGATTAGCTACTCAAGAAAAGTTTATATTCTTTACTAAGAGACTGTGCTAAATGCAGAGATGTGCCTACTATCCAGCTTTTCTGGGGGGTTTATATTTAGTTGCACCACTGACTTCACAGATCAAGCTAAGTGATTGCCCAGGTTCTGAGTTCAAGTTCCGGGACTAGTGCATGCACACATGTGCGCGCGCACGCGCACACACACACACACACACACACACACACACACACACACACACAACTGTTATGAATTCTGTCAAAGTATATTTCCCAATAGTTAAGTGGTTATCATTTTAATACAGGTCAGTATACTTTATCCAAAATTCTTGGAACCAGAAGTGTTTCTTTTCTTCAGATTTTGGAATTATTGCATGACAATAATGCAAAAATATCTTTGCAATGAGATTCAAATCTGAACATGAAGTTCCTTAATGTTTCATACAAATAACCAGAAAGGAATTTCATACAACATCTTTAGCCCATCTGCCTATTGACAGTTACTCATTGTGTGAGATCAGGTGTGGAATTTTCCACTTGTATCAAGTAAGTGCTCAAAAAGCTTCAGATTTTGAGAGTGTTCCAGAGGTGTTTGCCCTAAAAAGTGTTCTATTTTTGGTTATGGTTTTTAGTTTGTTACATGCTTCTTTCCATGTGGTTTTAACATGAGGCATAGTCACTGTGTCATCATTTTTCCTGTTGTTTTCAGAGTAGAGAAGATTGTTACAAGGTCAAGTAGGCTTCAGAGAATTCTGATCATGTATTAAGGAAACGAGCTCTAGAATAACAAAGTAATACAAAACTTGCACACTAAGCAAACTTATAAGGCAAGTTTTATAGAGAGTATAAAATTAATGGAACCAGAGAGGTTCTTAGGCCTCTAAATATAAGATCCCATTAAAAAAAACACCTCTACCACCCCTTCCCTAGCCCACATTCACCACAGTGGGATTTTAAAAACTATACAATTGGATCGAGTCACTTCCTAGTTTCAAATTATTATTATTATTACTGTTATTGTTATTGTTGTTATTAGTGTTATTATTATTGGTACTGGAGCTGAACTTAGGGCCTCTCATGTTCCCTTGGCATTGTTGCTCAAGGTTGGTGCTCTACTGCTTGAGCAACTGCCCTACTACTGTGTTTTTGTTGGCTAATTGGAAATAAAAGTCTCATAGACTTTTCTGCCCAGGCTGACTTTGAACCAAGATCCTCAGATCTCAGACTCCTGAGTAGTGAGGATCACAAGCATGAGCTGTTAATGCCCAGCTCTAGCTTCAAAATCAGTGATGGCTTCTCATTCAGGTTGAAATCATGTAAACATGTGTCTATGGAAGCTGACCACTTAGCTGCTACACCAAGCTCTTCACAGTTGCAATCCTGGTTCTCTGTTCTGCCATCCTTTCTGTTACTGGAACAAGCCACGCTCTGTTTGCTCGGATTCCTTACTGCTTGCTTGGAGGCCTGGAGTGTCCTGCTCCTTTCCTCCATACCCCCACTGGTTCATTTCTCTTCAGCAACTTCAGCATCTTGAGTGTTCCTCTCTGGTCACCTTTCCTCAAGTGACTTTATTCTGTTAACTGACCTTCATTCCATCTTCACCATCTTTACTTCTCACACTGGACTTCTCTTGTGTCATGTTTTTGATGGATTGTTTAGCTTCCCCACAAGATGAGCTCCATGCTGTGCCTGTCTTGTTCATTGCTTTACCCTCAGTGCCTAGTACAGGGCCTGGCTTGTTTCAGCAAATATTCCCTGAAGAAATGAATGAGTGTTAAGGAGGGAGCCTAACTCTTCAATGTTTTAAAAGCCAGGCTTTTAGACATGGTGGTGGCATATACCTGTAACTTCTGCCACTCGGGAGGTAGAGGCAGGAGAAAGCAGAATTTGAGGCTAACCCTGACAAACAGAGACTTTGTCTCAAAAACAACATATAAAACCACATGGGCTGGAAGAGGGGCCTGGCTCAAGGGACAAAGTGCTTGTCTGGCATCCACATGGCCTTGGGTTTGATCCTCAGTACTAAAACTACACATATGCTCAGAAGTCACTCCCCAGGGAAACAGGATCTGGAACCAAAAAACCAGGTAGATTTAAGTGTTGGATAAACACAAACTACTTGTGTGGCATTAAGGAAGCTTCCTGCCTTGTTTTGTTCATCTGTAAAGGGTAACCATGGTACTTATCTCACAAAGTCACTTTGAAGATCAAACAGAATGGTGCAATAAATGAGAAGACGCAGAAGACTCTCGCACACTGCCTACAGGGTACTGTGTGTACTGGAGTGTCCTGAGATCCTGGAGGGCCCTGGCTTCTCCATGCCACACACTGACCCAGGAAGGCACAGGCTAGCCTGAGGGGGTCTGCCAAGTGCATCTCACACGAGTTCTGCCACACATGTTCCTGACCATGGCAGAGGTGCACCTGCAGCCTTCCTGCCTTCCTGCTCCAGAAGGCACCAGTGTTGAGCCACACAGTAATAAAATAAACTTCGTGGGAGGTTCGTTCTCATTAATGCTATGTATAAATGTTTCTCCTGAATGCCATCATGCTGTTTCTTTAAATTCTTCAGTGTGCATATCTTCCACACAAGACCATCTCCCTGTAACCACTGTCTGGTACTCAAAATGATGAGTTAACACTACAATCTACAAGCCTTCTCCACACATCATTTGCTGTCCTTTGGCTCTTTAAAACCAAACCATATTTTGCCCCTACCCTCTCCAGTTAGGATCACATATCAAAATGAGCTATCACATCTTGATCTTTTCATCTGGACTAAGATAAAGTTACTTGAATATGTATTTCTTTCTTTTATGATGTTGAGTTTTTGTGTGTGCCAGTCCTGGGGTTTGAACTCAGGGCCTGGATGTTATCCTTGAGCTTCTTTGCTCAAGACTGACAGACGGCCCTCTACCACTTGAGCTACAGTTCTAATCTTGGCTTTTCTGGGAGTTAATTGGAGATAAGAATCTCAGGGGCTTTCCTGCCTGGGGCTGGATTTAAACCATGATCCTCAGATCTCAGCCTCCTGAATAGCTAGAATTATAGGAGTGAGCCACTGGGTGCCTGACTGATCTTGAATTTTGTGTGTGTGTGTGTGTGTGTGTGTGTGTGTGTGTGTGTGTGTGTGTGTGTGTGTGTGTGTGTGTGTGTGTGATGGGGGAGGAGGGACTAAGGATTGTACTGAGGGCCTGCAAATGCTAGGTAAGTGCTCTGCCTTTTTTTTTTTTTTTTGGGTCTGGTCGTGGGCCTGAACTCTGGGCCTGGGCGCTGTCCCTCAGCTCTTCAGCTCAAGGCTAGCGCTCTACCACTTGAGCCACAGCACCACTTCCAGTTTTTTTCTTTTTACTTATGTGGTGCTGAGGAATCGAACCCAGGGCCTCATCCATGCAAGGCAAGCGCTCTACCACTGAGCCACCTTTCCAGCCCCCAAGTGCTCTGCCTTTTAAGCCATGCCCTCCACATAATCTTGACAAATACAATTTTGACTGTCTCTTACTATGAGGGAGCATTGCTATTTCCTCATGCATTTGGGGCAGGGGTACCACAGAAGCTCTGTGTCCTCAGTTCATCTTGTGACTGGCATGTCAGCTTTGCTCACTGAAAAGTCTTCATTTTCTTGTTGTATATAATTAGTATTTTTCTGGGGAGATATTTGGAAACTTTCTACATATCTCACTACTTTGCCTGTCTGTTTTGGCCTTGAAATGTGAAGTAGTCTTTGTTTGTTCTTCCACGCCTTAGGCTGCATTCACTTAGACCTGCAGGCTCTCTTGAATGGGCCCGAGGACTGGAAGCAACTCCCTTTCTTCAAACTGGAATTTTATCGGTAAGTACATGCTCAAGTCCTCTCTCCCAGGAGAGAAGAGTTGGGTGAGCAAGGAGAATAGAATTGTCAGATGATGGTCACTCACATCTTTTCATATATTTTATTTAGGCTCTTACAAGTTGAAATCTCCTTTCACCTCAAAGGCATTGACCTACAGGCAATTCAGTCCCGCGAGTTACCAGATTGTTATGTCTTTCGAAATAAGGCAAGTATCGTGTGTGTGTGTGTGTGTGTGTGTGTGTGTGTGTGTGTGTGTGTTTGCGTGCACGCATGCACATGCATAGGGCATAGATGCTGTACCTTAGATATTTTTGCTCAAGGCTGGAACTCTACCACCTGAGCCACAGCTCCACTTCTGGCTTTTTGGTAGTTAATTGTAGATAAAGAGTCTCATGGACTATTTTTTTGTACGTTTTGTGATTGTAAAAACGCTGTACAGAGGGGTTACAGTTACATGAGCATGGTAATGAGTACATTTCCTATGGAGCATTGTTGCCTCCTCCTTTGTTTTTTCCTCCCACCCCTTCCCTCCCACCTCTACAACTTCCTCCCTACCCTCGCCCCCCACAAAGTTGTAAAGTTCGTTTTCAACATAGAGTCTTATACATCTCATTGTTACAATGGGTCAACCTGTATCCCTATTTAAGCATTTTGTTTTTTCCCTTCCCCTCTCCAAATTAAAAAAGTGTATATATAAAATGCAGGGCACCGAAATCAAATACAGTGAAAACAGGGGTTATATGTGGGGAGAGGAACATGCCAAAGAAACAACAACAACAAATCACATAGTACATTATAATTACATTATAAGCAATACCAAGAAAGAAAAAACCATGGCTTCAAAAACCACAATCCTTAGATCTCTGCCTACTGAGTAGTTAGGATTACAGGCGTGAGCCAGCTAAATGCCCAGCTAAATGTTTGCTTCACTAGGTTTTCATATTCCCTTTCCTATTCATTTCACTTTACATATTCTTCCGTACCGCTTTAGTAGGTAAAAAGTGGAAATCACACCATCCTAGATTTGGTCATGTTTACTAATCATTTGCGGTGTCATTGTTCCAGAGAGCCTGCTACTTCTGTAGATGGGAACAAGTAGGTCCCAATTTTTACAGACCAGATGTATGACTTGAAACAGTTTTCAGAATTGCCATTAGCCTCCCATTCCTCTATGACATCATGACGATGCTTTTTTCCAGCTCTGGAAGAAGGTTTGCCTTGACAATTTGGAACCTCAACGTTGAAACTACTCAGCTCAGTCCGAAGGCCTGCGAAGGCCTGCGTGTGCGGAAACAGTTTTCTCTTCATTGTTTGGGCAGGAAGCACAGGCATTAAGGCTGCCCATCTGCAAGCTGCCTTCCTGATCTTCTGCAGTTTCTGTTGCCTTTCTTTTTTTCTTTCTTTCTTTGTTTCTTTTTCTCTGCTGCTATAACAGAATATGACAGATTAGGTGATTTACAAACAAGAGAAGTTCACGTCCCCTCCAGTTCTGGAGACTGGCAGGCCAAGACCAAGGTGCTGCTTCTGGGGGAGGCTTTCTAGTCATGTCATAGCAAGACCTCGCTGTCTCTTAGTAGGCCTCACCTCCCCATCCAGTTTGCATTGGGAGTGGGGGGACACATTGAAATTGCAGTATGTGACATTGGTGGCTGAGGAGACGGAGGTTAACCTCCCTGGGTGAGCAGCAGCGCTGGGAATGCCTAGTGTGATGAGAATAGGGACAGGAGAGGAGGAGGAGTGAGCGCCCAAAGTCAAGGGCATTGATGGCTTTGTTCATAATTTGGTCGACAGTGTGCCTTAAGTCAGATGCTCTGGATTCTTCCTTCCTTCCTTCCTTCCTTCCTTCCTTCCTTCCTTCCTTCCTTCCTTCCTTCCTTCCTTCCTTCCTTCCTTCCTTCCTTCCTTCCTGCCTTCCTGCCTTCCTGCCTTCCTTCCTTCCTTCCTTTCTTTCTTAAAATTTTGTCCTTTATATTTTGCTCTACTTAAAGTTCTGAAGGCTTAAGGGAAATACTTCAGGGGGCTCTTCTAGGGGAAAGTGTTTGGCAGTGTCAGCAGAGACCTGTGCTAGCTGCCCTGCATAGAGAAATGGGGCTGGTGGAGTTTAACTCTTTGGATGTCTGGTTTGGTCTTCGTGATGTTGTTGGATTGCAATAACATGACTTGTTTTCAGCAGTACTCAGAGAGGTGTGAAGTGGATCACCCCACATCCAGCTCTCTGAATCTTTTTAGCTGTGAAATCTTGGAATTGTTTTAATAGGTCCACCCTATGAACAACTCAGTATGCAGCTTATATCACCTGTAAACTTTACATGATTCAGATGATTAATTTAGCTTTTTAATGTGGAAGGGTTAAAGACAATTGACTATCTTTGTTTGGAATAATTCTGCCATTTCCAAAAGCATTGTACATAGCTCTGGAAGCAAACAGAGTTTTCAGACTAATAAAAACCTAAGTTTTTATATCCAAAGACTGAATTGATAGAAGGTGTCCTTCAGTTCCATTCAGTAGAATAATTAAGGGCAATGGGTTCTCTTGTCAAAGATTGGTGCATTCTTATTTTAGTTCCTGGGACTGGTCAGCTACGTTGCTCTAGGATTCCTCTAAACTAGAGAGCTGAAATCCTAAATTTGGTAGGGCATCCTGTATTTACCCTGCAAACTTTTCTTCATTAATAAAACTGTGAAGAAATCCCATAACGGAGACATTCTCATCAGTATGATTCTCTTTGGATCAGGCTGAGTTTTAAAGCATAGTTGCTCTAATGTGTCTTATCTTTTGCTGAGCTATAATCTCTCACTCTCCTTGTATCTCCAGATTACCTTCGATAATAAAGCTCATAGTGGCAAAATCAAAATCTACTTCGACAGTGACGCCAACATTGAGGACTGTAGAGCCTTGAACATATCTGGATCCAGTGAGTATGCACCATACCTGGCCCTGTGGCCCAGGGGATGTTTGTTTGTTTTTTTTGTTTTTTTGTTTTGTTTTTCTAACACTGTATTTTGGAATTTGGAGGATTTAATTGGCTGGTCTACATGGTAATAGGAAAAAAGAGTTCTGGAAAGCCATATTGAATATGAGATTACATGGAGCATGTTCACAGCTATGTACTTTTGTTTAATACAGCAAAACATTTATTACAGCAAACATTTATTACATATCTCTTGGAAGAGGTAGTAGGACTGGGAAGTTAGGAATACAGGTGTTTGGTTCCTGGGTTTATTTGCCATGCCTGGAATCCTGAACACTTTCCTTTCTTTTTTCCTTCCTTCCTTCTATTTCTTCTTTTTCCTCTCGTTCCTTTGTGCATATTCTGGGGCTTGAACTCAGGGCCTGGAGCTGTCTCTGAGCTTTTTTGCTTAAGGCTAGTGCTCTACCACTTGAGTAGCAGCTTTACTCCGGCTTTTTGGGAGGTTAATTAGAAATATAAGTCTCATAGACTTTCCTGCCCAGGCTGGCTTTGGATGTAATCCTCAGATCTCAATCTCCTGAATAGCTAAGATTACAGGCATGAGGCACCTGGCTTGACTATATTTCTCAAGTTCTCTGTTTCAGAATCTTTCTGTATGAAATGAGGGTAATAATGCTACCTAGCAGGTATAATAATTCCTTCCAGTGTGCTGAATATGAAATCAGCTAATATGAAAGCAAAGCACCATGAGCAAGGTGGGCACCTGTGAATTGCTGGGCTCTTTGAAGCAAGGAGCAATGTTTTGGAGAGGTGGCCATGTTGTTGAGTCTCTGTATGATATGGGTTGGGTAAATGGAGGGAGTGCACAAAAGTTCTGAGGGACAAGAAAACAGAGGACAAATCTAGAGACAGAAGCAGGAAATGTAGGATGATTCTTGGAGAGAACATGTTTTGATCTAAGCCTTTGACAGTAGACAAGAATGAAGGCCTTAGAGTCAGAGTACTGTCTGTACAAATGTGCAGCAGAGGACTTTGTAATCCACACAGTTAAAATGGCTACATGGATCTTGTTCTGTTTACCTAAGGAGAGTTTCAGCCATGGAAATGATGGATAGTCAATATTTTTTATTTGATAAGCTTTAAGTAATAAACTTCCCTCTGGCCAGATTCTCAGAATAAAATAAAATGTAATATGTCAGTGGTTTGTAGTTTGAATCAAATTTGTTTTCAATTGGGTCTGACTTGTGTCTTTCTACCTTTTGGTTGTATACTATAGCCTAATTATTTTGATTTTTTAAAAAAAAATTTGTGTTAGAATACACAGTTTTGGTTGTCTGTGAAAAGTGGTTTCTCTCTTATAGACACGTTTCTCTCAGACCCCAAATCAAGCCCAAGTATAGACTTCAGATATTTTCTATGAGAAGAACTAGCTCTTGTCGCATATAAAATGTCATTGTGTGATCAAATGATGGAATCAACTGGTTGATTAAACTTGTTGCCAGAGCAGTAGTTGGGATCTCTGGCTCCCTCTTGTGGCCAACAGGAAGAAATACAAACCTCTCCAAAGGCTAAGAAAAGTCACTAACATGTTTATGCTCATCACTAGAATGTATTTAAAGTGAGGGACAGGAAAGCCTTAAGGCTGAAGTTTAGAAACCAGTTTGGGAACTAGGTTTTTGCCCTTGTAGGTGTATCTGTTTGGTGGGCTGATAGAACCCTGGCTTTGGGGAAACTGAGACAAAGGCAGGGCCAGCCCCTAGTGGGTTCCTTCTGCCATTTCCAAAATGTTCTGAGGTCTTTTCCCGACCCTACAGCTTCTTGTACCCTTATACAACCTCAAAGCAAAGATTTCTTCTCACTTGCAAATCTCATCTGGCCTTTGATGACTGTGGCGTATGTTCCTATTTACTTCGTCTAGCTTGAATTTATAAGCACAGTAGTTTGTTTGGTTTGGAGGACATTCCTATAGAGTAACAGTTTCTGTGGAGTAAGAAAGTCATTACTTTGTTTCTAAAAATACTTTTTTTTTTTAACACACCAAACTAGTCTTTTCAATAATTCAAGGGAAAAAATAAAACAGAACAAACAAAATCCAAGTACCAATGGCTCCTGGTAGTAATCCTTGCGATTGAAAAGACTGAAATCTGGAGAATAGCAGATCAAAACCATCCTAGGCAGAAAAGTTTATTAGATTGCATCTCGAAGCAAACAAGCAAACAACTGAAAAAAATACAACTCAGGTTGGAGGTGTGACTCAATTGGTAGATTGCAGCTGAGTAAGCAAGCTGCCTGCATGAAGCCTTGTTCAAACCTTGATACTGCCAGAAATGAAAAACAAAACAAAGCTGATTAAAAAAGAAAAACCCCAGAATACCCTACTGGATTGTCAGTTAGGAGGGTTTATTTAGCCTTTTGGGACTATAAGTTTGCTTATCTATAAAGGACAACCAATACAAATAGTTTTAGAGATTTCTGTTCTAGGTATTGGTCAGAAAGAAAAAGTGCCCCATGCTGTTGCATTTCATAAGATTTTGGCCCTATCTTCCCTTATTTCCTCAGGCCCCTGGTCCACAGGTCCAAGGAAAGTTATTTGTTTTGGAAAAGTCCTTTTGTTATGTACAAATGAAATTCAGCACAGCTTGAGTTTTCTTAAATCCAAAATGGCTAGAGATAAATTCCAGTACCATTTCACCTGCCCTCAGGACTTGTGGGAGGTAGGGGCTGTCTGTCTCTTGCCTTCCCTGCTTTGTAGCTGAGGCTTCTGAAGCTTAGAAGAGTTAAATCAGTGGCTTGATGAGTTCCAGCTCTGCTCATCACCTACCACTTTTTCCTCTGTCCTTCATCCAGGGTGGCTCATTGAACAATGGGAACTGTCTGGCATTTTCTCAGATGCCTTTCCAGCTAGGTGTTGCTGATTGTGCGGCGCACAAATACACCTGAAGCACATGTGTCCCCAGGCTTGTATCCTTGTGGTGAACCCCACAAAAAGAATGCAAAATGGGAAACCGGAGACAGAACAAAAATATTGATTATTAAGCATAGGGCAAAACATTAAAGGCAGAACCTCTTTGTAGAGAGAAACTCCAGGTTAGTCATTAAAGGGACAATTCCAAAGATAAAGCCTTGAAGTAAGTTAAGGGGTTAAACACGGGGTTACTGGAATTCAGTAAATAGTAGTAAGACAATCAGTATCCGCCATAAGGAGGGAGTGGGGACTCACCAGGCCAGAGGTGACACCGAAGGCTCAGTGACCTGAATAACCGGAATCAAGCCTTCCCTCCACAGATTCTGAGAAATGGGTGAGAGGTGAACCAAGCATAACCACCAAATTCCTGCTACCTGCACAATTCTCGCTTCTGTACCCCAGCTTGCTTGCTCTGGTTTATTGCAAAAATGGCACCTGTGTGTGGTGTGTGCCCTTAAATACTCGGCAGGTCCGCATGTGGGGGCTACGCTCCAAAGCTCTGCAAATTGGAGGCAGTTGCTATGGGGCAATAAAGGCTCCTAGCCTATTGACTGAGTGTTGGGGTGTCCCGTTGGGTACAACACTCCCCTGGACTTTCTTGCCCACCTGTTTCCTGAGATCATCTTCGAATTCTCAAACATGGATGCTCCCACCCCCATCCTCTCTAGGCTGCTGGTTCTCTGTGTATCTGTCCACATCGATGGCTTCAGTCATCACCAAGATACCCTGGCATGATTGTCCAGCTTGAACTCAGTTTACCCAAGATAGGAGCCAGTCTCGGTTGTCTTTTTCTCTAGGTCCAATTGGGAGCAGGGTGTGACTCTTACACTTTCATCTCTAACTCTGTTTTCTCCTCTTTCTCTGCTTCTGACTTGGTCTAGATTGTCTTAAATTCTCTTGGAGATGATTCAGTGGTCTTCTCATATTCTGTGTGAAGCTCTTCTCTTATTTGTGAGCATGAGGAAAGCTTGTTATAAAAACCACAATGTCATATTTGTACCCTGCTCAGGGCCCTGGTGTCATACTGCCAACCATGGTGCAAAGATGGATATTGAATGATAAAATACTGAGCACAGTTGAACACTGGTGGCTCATACCTATAATCTTAGCTACTCAGGAGTATGAGATCCAAGGATTGCAGTTCAAAGCCCGCCCAGGCAGGAAAGTCTATGAGACTCATTTCCAATTAAGCAGAAAAAAACCCCTGGAAGTGCAGCTGTGGCTTAAGTAGTACAGTGCTAGCCTTGAGTATAAAAGCTCAGTGTATAGGGCCCGGATGCCCAGGACAGACAGACAGATACACACAACACACATATTCACACACACACACACACACACACATATACACATACACACACTCGAGCACAATACGTGTCTGGTATTATTTTCCTAGGGCTTCTCTAGGAAAGAACTTGTGTCATCTTCACAGTAGGCCTATGATATGGATTTCATTATTATTGCCACTTTCCAGATGAGGAAATGGAGACTCAGAAGTTAAGCAGCTTTCCTGATGCTCCCCACCTTCTGAGTGTACCCAGGCTATGGGGCTCCAGATGCCATGTCCCCCCCACCCACCCCCGTACTGTCCTGTGTCGGTACTCCATCCTGTGATGTCTCTGAGGATGTCATTGTGAAGTTCAGTGGCTGGCACACAGAGGAGAATGAACGGGATCAACCATGTGTATAGTCATGGGCTATGAAAGAATATAGGTGGGACTAACAGAGATGGGAGTTTTGTTCAGATTTTTAATCTGAAACCTGATGATGAAACAAATAATTGGAACCTATTGTGTGGAGGGAAGAGCTGCTGTTTTCTGTCAGAGAAACCAGGTGTGCCAAGTCCCTGAGGCACAAGCAAGGACTGCAAGGGAGAGAGAGAAAGTGGGAATCGGGCAGGTGAGAGTATTTGGAGCGTGGGATGGCGCTATGAGGTCTGCGAGATACTAAGACTACAGGCCCATCTCTCTCTGACACAATCTCCTTGGGACTATGTATTTCAAATACATACATACAGCCATAGGGCTTTGAACTAAGGGTCTGAGTGCTGTCCAGGAGCTAGAGCTCTATCACTTGAGCCACAGTGCCACTTCCAGTTGGTTGACTTTTTCACTTAAGGCTGGTACTCTACCACTTAGGCCATAGCTTCATTTCTTGCTTTTCATGGTTAATTGGAGATAAGACTCTCACTTTTCTGCCTGGGATAGCTTCAAATCATGACCTCAGACTCCTGAGTACCTGGGATTACAGGTGTGAGCCTGCACCTGGCTCAGTGTGGCAGACTTGAATTGCAGACTGGATGTCTGTAGTTAATGTTTTTAAGTAAAGCATCTCAGAGTATGTTAGAGGTTTTAACCTTTTGAATAGAGAAAAATGGGTCACATTCTACTTAATTGTGTTCTACAGTAAAGATTTTTTTTTTCAGGTAAGGGGTAGGTTTATTCAGTAGACCTGCTGGGACCAGGCCAGGCTGGCACTCCACCTGGCTGGGCAAGGCCTGGGAAAGAGAGAGGAAAGAGCTAGAAAAGAGCAGTGAGGGAGCTTCTGGGCCTGGGCTAGGCCTTATCTAGGGTATGGGCGGAGAAAGGTGTGGCCACATCAAATTCAGATGTGACCTCTTCCAGGTGTCCCAGTTGCCTAGGTAACGCAGGTACTAGGTGGAGACTTTGCTGCAAGGAGGGTGGAGTCTGCTCGCCATCCAGGATTGGACCTTACATTCCAGCCTTTTAATAATCATGAAATAGAGTGCAGATTCTCTCTGGCTACTTCCTGCTGACAAGGGGCGTCGACAATAGGAGTAAAAGGCTGGAATTTGGTCCCCTCCCAGAAAAGGCAGTGAGCAGCAGCTGTCCCTTGGTGGCATGAGTCCTTAGATGAAGTCTGGAGAAGTCTCATGAGCATTGAGGGGCTGGAAAAAAAAATACTAGAGAGCAAATAAATGGCAAGAGGAAGGACTTGGGGCTGAAAGTGTTGGTAGAAATGTCCCTAGCTACTTCTGACATCTGGCGACTAGGTAGAGAAGTCAGGTGACAAAGGCAAGAATATAAATTCCTGTTCGGTTAATAGGTAGACAGGTATAGACATTGGATGGGCAGGCTTCTTACTTCCACTGACCTCCCGGCTCTGGTTAATTTGGAAAGGGCAGGCACAAAATAGCTGATGTGACATCATCTCCTCTTACTCTTCTCCATGTTCCCTTGTTCCCCAGACTGGCTGAGTCTAGGCGCTCGTTGCTAGGATGGCTTGTCCCAGTTGGTATTCAAGGAGGTTTGAACTCAAGGCCTGGGCATTGTCCCTGAGCACTTCTGCTCAAGGCTAGTGCTCTACCACGTTGAGTTACAATAGCACTTCCAGTGTTTGTTTGGCTGGTTAGAGATAAGAGTCTTGAGCCATGCTTCCAGCCTGGCTCTTTGCAGGTTAGTTGGGAGATGGAGTCTTAGGGATTTTTCAGCCCAGGTTGGCTTTGAACTGAAATCTTTGCCACAAAAGCCCTTTATTATTTCCAATTAAAGCAACAAGGAGATCAAGTAGAATAAGTAGAGCTTACCTGGCTCTTATCAAGAATTGACCGACAAATATTCTGAAATGACAAAACTCATGAGATGTGATGAGAATTTTAGCACAGATATGCCCAGTATTTTAGAACCATGTAGTCAGTAGAATACACAACACAAAACAAAAAAGGAAACTCAAAATCTAAAATTTTGACAACAATGTTTAGACATCTTTGCTAACAAAGCATATCAGATGGTTGGGCCTCAGTTACCAGGGCCTGTGAAAAGAGCAACTTGTTAGCAAGGCACCTTAGAATAGCTGGATGGAGTAGCAAGCTTGGTGGAAGGTTAAGGGTCAGATGGGGCCAAACCCTTAACCCACCACGTGGCCAAGGTGGTGAACTCAAGACAGCAAATTTCTGAAAAAAATGCAAAGAAAGCCTGAACACATAGATCAAGCCTACATTGGCTAGCCTTTGAGGGGGAACCTGGCGGGGGGTCCCCGGGACCCAGCCTGCATTGCACTCTTCAGGGCACAAGCCAAAATGTAGAAAAGAGAAAGGGAGAGATAGGGAAAGTTGGACATGAATGGCAGAGAGAGAGCAAAGAGAACCTGAAAGTAAACAGACTTCTGACCATTTACCATTGCAGTGGCAAAAACTGTCTACATCTGAGAATGGCATAAAAATGAGGCGCTCTGGCTTTCCAGGGAAAGCAGGAGGCATTTCAAAGGGGTTTCATGGCTCAGGCATCACTTGCAGCACCCCATTAAATGAGTAGGAGAGTCAGTCTGGTGAGTGAAGGAGAGCTGACCAGGCAGAAGCGGCGTCCCGACTTCCCCCAGAGCCCTCTAGAGAGAAATGGCCAAGCCCCCAAAACCAAGCGTCCTCGGCTTCAGAGGTGACCAGTCTTTCAGCTAAAAGCCATAGGAGCTCTCTGGCGTGGCGCCATGTCTGGAAGAGACTGAGCAACAGAGAGGCGTAGAGAGTAGTTTCACTCACCAGAGTAGAGAAGTGGTGTGGACGTGGATGTGAAGGCAGCAATGGTATCGATGCGCTGTGTCTGCAGCAGACAGACCGGTTTGCAAAAGGCTGTCAGAACTGTGGGTATTCCTCAGAGCAAAAAGGGAAAAACAAACAGAAAAAGAAAAAAGAGGAAAAAAACCAGAGAGGAATCCCAGCTATCCTGACTTTAAGCCCTTTATCCGAGTCACGGCACCAATTATGTTAGGTTTTTAAAAAAGAGGTAGCTGAGTAAGAACAGTACCACGCATGCTATTCAGGTAAGGGGTAGGTTTATTCAATAGACTTTCTGGGACCAGGCAAGGTTGGCACTCCACGCGGCTGGGAAAGGCCTGGGAAAGAGAGAGAGCTGGGAAAGAGAGAGGAAAGAGCTAGAAAAGAGCAGAGAGAGCAGAGAGCTACAGTAAAGATTTATAAATGCATCTTTTTGTGTATTTATTGACAATTCGTATATTTTCAAATGCATTCCTGTTCACCGCAGAGACTGGATTTACCTTATTTGTGGACCTGGGAATGAATGTAGTGTGAGTTGTTTCTGATACTTACCATTTCCTTTTAGCTACAGACAAAACGTTTTTCTCATTTACAGTTCCTTTCAGCTAGCCATTTTGCTTGAAGATGATTCTCAGTGTAGGTGTGTTTAACATGTGCTTTCTGTTTTGTTCTTCAGTTCAGAAAAATACTCAGTATGTCCTGCTCTTTGACGCATCTGTCATTGCCATTTGCCTGGCATCTCTTATCTTGTGCACAAGATCCATTGTTCTTGCTCTGAGGTTACAAAAGGTAAGCCTGTCTGCGTTTACCCCCTCCCTCTTAGTCTCCACCTCAAGGCTCTCTGACCGATATTGGGCTACTCTGGCCTTCTGGTACCCTTGGACACACTTAAATTCCTTTAAGTGATGGCCCTATATATGAAGCCCTATATGAGGCCCTATATAAAGCACTTCAAGCACAGGAAGTAAGAAAAGGGCTCTGGGTGTGTCAGGGCAGACCAGATAATTTACCTGCTTAAGTCTGAGCTAGGGAGTACATCCAGGTGCTTCACAGTGAGTGGTGAACTCTTGATCTTTTGGATGTTTCTAGAATAAATGATATTCTTTTAGCTGCAGGAATTATCTCAAAAGAAAAGTAACAGCATGTCTTCAAATCAGAGTTCATTTTGACAGGAAAGGACAGACTCTAATGAACTTAAAATACTTTAATTCTATATTTAAAATAGTTGAAAAATTCTTCTCAAATTTCATCTGACCTTTTAACCTTTGGGGCTCCTATGAATCTATGCTTCAGCTCCCCACCGATCTTCTTCCAGCTGTGGCATTCATGTGAAGTCCTACGAATCAGAGGAAATGGGAAGTTGTGGGAATGCCATTGTGTAGCAAGGAAATAGTCTATACCTATTTTCCTTGATGGAGGACTTTGGTCAAGCTGATTTGTAAATATCTACCCACTTCTCTTGTCTGCCTCCAACCTTCTTTTATTTGTGCCCATACTGGGGCTTGAACACAGGGTCATGTGCTCTTGATTAGCCTTTCCACTTAAGACAAGTGCTCTGCCACTTGAGCCACATCTCTACTTGTACTTTTTTGCTGCTTAATTGGGCATAAGAATCTCATGGACTTTTCCTGCCCAGCGATCCTCATATCTCAGCCACCTGAGTAGCTACAGGGATGAGCCACCAATGCCTGGCTCTTCCAACCTTCTTGATATTCTGAGTCCAAAGTTCAGGTCCTGTTTCTTCCAGAGAGAGGGAGACAACAAGGAGAGTACCTCCTCAGGTCCAGGCTTAGACTCTGTACCTCAGTTCCCTTAACTGGGTGACAGGGCTTGCTAGCACCTAGTTTATAGGGTGCTGTTGGTTCAAATGAATTGAAAACATAAAGTATGTGGGAGATACCACGAGTTAGCTGGTGAGCATCAGTTAGAGTCAGAGCATGGGCATTTCATTTTTAGTTTGATTAGCAGGTGCACACATGATAAAGGAAAGTTTATTTCACATGTGTGAAATGATCCATCCATCTGGAAAAGGTAACACAGGGAGAAGCACTGCCTCTCCTTCCAGAGGGCTGGGTGGTTCATAAGAAAGAATTTTTGAATATTTGCTGCAGAGACTTGAAACCTTCTTCCTGGAGAAGTACAAGCGACGTGTGTGTGATGCTGACCAGTGGGAGTTCATCAGCGGGTGGTATGTCCTGGTGATTATCAGCGACCTGATGACCATTATTGGATCCATCTTGAAAATGGAAATTACAGTCAAGGTAAGGGGCAAGACATTCAAAATCACTTGTGATTCTTCCAGGTGGCCTCAGGCATCTCCAAGGTACAATGTCCTTCCTGAGGGTAGTTTGATTCTCGGGCTTGCTCTTTCCCCATACCCACATTCTTCCCTCATACTTTCAGCTGCTTTCTTGGCTAGGGGATAAGGAAGCTGGTGGCCTGTGCCAGTCTTATAGGACCCTATAGAAAAGGTGTGGCATCTTCAGAAGAGTAACTGAAGTTCAAGTAGATTGGCTCTTGGCTTTCATGTTTGCTTCAGTTGCTGAAGGACTAAGTATCCCACAAATCAATCAGTGCCCCTGAATGTAGGTGGGCCTCAGTGGTGGCAATCTGTGACACTGGTGCCCTGATTGATGGAGGAAGGCAGGAGCATTGAGTGTCTGTATCCACAGACACTGTTGTGCAATGAGTTGATTCGATCTTGTGACTCATTTCTGATCCTCCCTCTCATGGGGTGGTCCATCATCATGAGCAGAATTCCTCACTCTACAGTGCATGCACTTCTCTGTCTCTGGCTTTCTTGTCTTCTCTGGCCCGGTTTTAACCTCCTTACTGTTTTCTTGTCTTCAGTGTTTTTGCAATTAAAAAAAAAACTTTAAAGCAGTTGTACAAAGGTGTTTCAATACAATGGGTCAGATGATGAGTACAGTGCATCCTGACCATGTCACCCCTTCCATTGCTCTCCCCCAGCTTTCCCAATCCCATCCCTACCCTCAAGTGTGTCTTTAGTCTTTTAAAATCTGTCTACACAGCTGCCACAATGACTTTTTTTCTGGAAGTGTCTGCCTTGCTGATACAAACCTGTTTACCTCCTAGGCCTTCCCTTTGGATGTGGTGGCCTCCCTGTAACAGGGCCTCCAGGGAATCCCTCTGTCTGAGCTCTGGCCCTGATGCTACTCTTCCAGGATAACTTGTTGGCTCTCAAAGTTGTGCTTCTGTTCCACCTTTTCATTTGTCTGTGAAACTTTCTTCAGCCTGTGCAACTGCAGGCCGTGGGGTCTCAAGAGTGGCAAGCTTATAACAAGCAGTACATTGTGTCTCATTGCACTTTTATTAGAAGTCTCATTGCACTTCTATTAGAGTCATAATCATCTTTTTAGTGCCACTTAGAATTTCTCTTTCTTCTCTTTCTTTCTTTCTTTCTTTCTTTCTTTCTTTCTTTCTTTCTTTCTTTCTTTCTTTCTTTCTTTCTTTCTTTCTTTCTTTCTTTCTCTCTCTCTCTCTCTCTCTTCTCTCTTTTTCCCTTTCTTTTTCTTTCCTTCTCTCTCCCTCCCTTCTCTCTTTTCTTTCTTCCTTTTTCTCTCTCTCTTTCTTACTTCTCTCCTTCCCTCCCTCCCTCTTTGCCTCCCTCTCTCCCTCCCACTCTCCTTTCTTCTTTCTTTTCTTCTTTCTTTCTATCTTTCTTTGTGGGGCTTAGCTATGGTGAATAATGATGCAATAAACATAGTTGTGCTGGTAGCATTAGTCTAGCTTTGTTTGTGATCATTTGGGTAAATGCCCAGAAGTGGGATTGCTGGGTCATAGGGGAGCTCTATGTGGAGTCTTTTGAGGAACCTCCATACTACTTTCCAAAGTGGTTGAGCAAGTTTACACTCCCACCAACAATGAATTGATTTTTTTTTAAATGCTGTTAACATATATTCTTTTTTTTTTTTTTTTGGGTCCAGTAGTGGGGCCTGAACTCTGGGCTTGGGCGCTGTCCCTCAGCTCTTCAGCTCAAGGCTAGCGCTCTACCACTTGAGCCACAGCGCCACTTCCGGCTTTTTTCTTTTTGCTTATGTGGTGCTGAGGAACTGAACCCAGGGCCTCAGGCATGCAAGGCAAGCGCTCAACCACTGAGCCATCTTCCCAGCCCACAACATATATTCTTTAATGCTTAGGTCAGAGGTAAATGCAATTTCTACTTCACAATATTGTTTGGAAAGAATCAGTTCAATCAGTTGAAATACTGAAAGGAAATGAGAAAGAAACATTTAAATTATGTCCTAAATTCTTCTTTATCTTTTAAAAAACATTTAGTTGGGGTGGGAAGGTGGCTCAGTGGTAGAGCACTTGCCTTGCATGCATGAGGCCCTGGGTTCGATTACTCAGCACCACATAAGCAGAAAAAAGCAGGAAGTGGAGCTGTGGCTTAAGTGGTAGAGCACTAGCCTTGAGCTGAAGAGGTGAGGGACAGTGCCCAGGCCCCAGAGTTCAGGCCCCACAACCGACAACAAAACAAAACAAACCCACAACCCCCCCCATCCAAACCCAAAAACAGTTGCCCCTATAAGGAAACACTCATTCCCCTCCCCCATTTGTTGAAAGAAAGTTAAATAAGTCAAGCAGACTAGAATGTTGCATTTATCTTTTTTCCCCCATAGAATCTCACAAATTATGATTTGTGCAGCATTTTTCTTGGCACATCTACGCTGTTTGTGTGGATTGGAGTCATCAGATACCTGGGATACTTCCAAGCATACAATGTAAGCATTGGGCCCCGCGAAAGAAACGCAGGGATTAAGACTCACCTCTTTGGGTTCTAGCACCCATTTTTCCATCTGGGCCATTACATGACCTTCTTTTTCTCCCCAGGTGCTCATTTTGACAATGCAAGCCTCGCTGCCCAAAGTCCTCCGGTTCTGTGCCTGTGCCGGCATGATATACCTGGGCTATACATTCTGTGGCTGGATTGTCTTAGGGCCATATCACGAGAAGGTGTGTAACTCTGTTTCTTCCTTCTGCTCTCCAGAGCCTGGGACCATCTGCAACAGGCCTCCACACTGGATTTCTTCCTTCCTCCTCCTCTCCAGCATGTACCCTTGCAGCAGCATGAGGATAGCTGTGCCTTTGATTTCTTTTCCTTTTCTTTTTCAGGATATTGAAGTGACTTTAGGATGTTGGGCCTTATTGGTTTGGTCACACATTCACTCAGATGATTGTCAGTTGAGAGATATTAGAACACAAGATCTCTTTGGTTAAAAAAATAATCCAATTACTCACACCTGTAATTAATCTTAGCTATGTAAGAGGATGGGAACAGAGGATAATAGTTCAAAGCCAGCCCAAACAGGATAGTTCATGAGACTCTTATCTCCCATTAAAGTAAAAAGTTAGAAGTGTAGCTGTGGTTCAAGTGGTAGAGCACCAGCCGTACGTGAAAAAGCAAAGCAAGAAAGTGAAGCTCTGATTTCAAGCCCCATTACTGGCAAAAATAAATAAATGCTTAAGTAAATAAGAAAGTTATTACAAGATCTTTTAGTTGGAAGACTTAGGTTTTTCATTCTTGCTAGCTACGGAGGGAGGTAAGTAAAGACTCGGCTTCGAATGACCAATTTATTTCTGATTGAAATGAAAGCACATCTTTGTAGGCGGTTATGATCAAAGCACCATCTTTGTGTCTTATTAAAGATCAAAATCTGTGTTCCACACTGTTGCTGAGCTACAGGCAGCATTGGAATCTAAGCAATGTCAAAGTGCTACTAAGATGTTCTGGTTTTGAAATGATAACATTGATTGGAAGGTAATTTATGAAATGACATAGAAATGAAAGGAGTTATTATGACTTGCAATTTTTCTTCCATGGATCCATGGCTAATGGAACAAGAAAAATTACAAAAGCCAGCAAACAGCAGTAGCTAACTCTTGTTGCTTGGGTGTTAAGCACGATGATCAGCATTGCTGCATTTTTTCTTATTCCATCCCTGTGAGTATCAAGGGCGCTGCAAGGATAAAACGGCTAAAAAAAAAAAAAAAAGAAGGCAAGAAAGCAAAGGATTGCTACTAAATTTGGGTATCATTTCAATCCTAAATTTTGAGATTGACAGCTACATTAACCAAAATATGTGGTCAAATCTGGGTTCCAGACTCCACAGAGTAAATTGAGAGTTTGAAGTTCAAACATTCTCTGCTGTCCTACTAAAATAAACATACACATTATAGCTTTCCTCTCCAAGTGTCATATTTAATAAGTCCAAAGAGAATAACAATTTTTCTTAATTGAAAAATAGGAATAATTAACAAAGTGACAACCTATGATTCAAGAGTAAACCTTGATGATATGATCAATTTTCCAATTCCATATCACTTCCTTGATGGTGACTCATGAGGAAAATATTTCTTTGAAGCTGGACACTGGGGGCTCATGCCTATAATCCTAGCTACTCAGAGGTCTGAGGACTACAGTTCAAAGCCATCCCAGGCAGAAAGACCATGAGACCATGAGACTCTTATCTCCAAGTAACTACCTCCTTTCCCCCTCAAAAAGCCAGAGTGGAGTGGTTGCTCAAGTGGTAGAGTGCTAGCCTTGAACAAAATACAGCTCAGGGACAGCGCCCAGGGCCTGAGTTCAAGACCAAGGACCAGCAACCCTCCCCCACCAGCAAATTTTCTCTTTGATATGGTTTTTCTGATTTGGAGAACTCATTGTCTTAGTGTCCATGAAAATTTGCATTTTTCTTCCTCATTTTAGGCTCTGAAAGCTGTTGCATGTTTTTGTCATGAGAGGGCAGTGTTGCACTATGTGGAATAAATATTGAGCCTAACAATTTGGCTTTAACTCCTTGGCTCCTAAGACTCCAGGACAAGTGGTATTATCTCCTTTGCCACTGGCTTCCTGTGTTCTCCACCCCATAATTATTCTGCAATTTTCTCAGTTAATGTTGCTTGAGTTTTACTAAGTGGGCTACTATTCTCAAGTGCTGTTTGTAAGGCCTGGTGCCTAAGTCTTTATCTCTTGGTGTGTTCACCACCCTATCCTGGTAGTCAGCTTTCTGTCATTGTGACAAAATGCCTGAGAGGGTCAACGTTTAAAGAGGAAAAATTCAGTTTGGCTAATGGATTCAGTTCATGCTCACTTGGCTCTGTTGCATTTAGGCCTGTAACAAGGCAAGACATCATGGTGGAAATGAGAGTCAGAGGAATGTATTTCACCCTACAGTGACCATGAAGAAAAGGAGAAAGAAAGGAACTAAGGTTCCAATAATTCCTTCAAGCACACACCCCTAATGACCCAACTTCCCCCTGGTAGACCACCTCCTAAAGGTGCAACCTACCCAATATTGCCTCAGGCTGGAAACTAAGCCTATAATACATGGCCCTTTGGGTTGATATTTGAGATCAAAACTATAATATTACAGCTGGGTGCTCATGGCTCATACTTGTCATCCTAGCTACTCAGAAGGCTGAGATCTCAGGACCATGGCTTGAAGCCAATGTGGGAATGAAAGTCTGTGAGACTCATATCTCCAATTAACCATCTCCAAATCAGAAGTAGAGCTGTGGCTTAAAGTGGAAGAGCACTACCCTTGGGCCAAAGAGCTCAGGGACAGCACCCAGGCCCTGAGTTAAAGCTCCACAACCAACAACAAAACAAAATACAACTACAGCATTTCCTCTTTTCTTCCCTGTGGGAAAAGATGATCCTTTCTTTCTTTTCTTTTTTTTAAAGAACATTACAGTAAGGAAGAATCCTTTATAGAAAAAATGTTTGGATACTTTTTCTGAGGTCACCCAGATAATGAGTGACAGAAACGGTATTTAAACCCTGATCTGCCTGACCTTAGTGCATATGTGTTTGTCAGTTCTCTATAGAGATTTTTTTTGGTATAATCTAAGACAGAACATTGCAAGAGAATTGGGGTTGTACTTCTACATCAATGGTAAGGAAAAAGCCCCGGAATCTATCTTAATCTCTTAATGTGTGTCAAGATCACCTCATGGAAAGTGACACCGTTTGCTTTCTGATCCAGCGACATTGCCACACGCTCAGTTTTGTCCTTTTATCAGATCAAGGTAAAATAGGGGTGCTCTGGGTCAGCAGTGTCCAATAAAAATGTAATATGAGCACAAATGGAGCCATGTGTAGACTTTACAGTATTCTAATCGCCATAGTAAAACAAATACGAAATTCATTTAAATTATATATTATATGGAACCTAGCATATCCAATATTGTTTCAGTACGTAAGCAGTGAAAAATATCACTGCTTTTTGACTAAGTCTTTGACAAAGTGTGGTATCTTTTGTATTCCCATGAACACCTCAATTTGGACATCCCACATACCAGGTACTATACAGTTCCACATGGGGAGAGGTTATTATTTGGGATAGTGGATTTTAAGCTGTGTGTCTCACTTAATGTCAGCTTCCCTTTAAGCCCTGGGTAGTAGAGGGATGAGGGATATCTCTGGGAATCCCTGGCAGGTCTGTGTAGGTACCACATTCCTGGTCTCTAGCCAGGCAGATAGACTGAGGTCATGTATGCTTGAGGTAATTCAGGAAATGCACAGGTCAGCAGAGGGAAAGAATTCTAGTCTTATCCTGCTTTTCTCTCCTTCTTCACCGCTTGCAGTAAAATTTCCCTCAAATGTATCCAAACTAGTGGGTATCCTCCTTCCCCAAGAGTTCCCTGAAGCCCTTTAATACCAAGGACAACTGCAAGCATTTCCGCAAAGTACTTTAGAATCACAACAAAGCTTTAGTGTGAAGGATATATAGTTAAAACAAACAAAACACCTCTAAAGAGGAGATATCAGATAGTTACAATGGGATGCTACTGTTTGGAATTAGCCAGCGTCCTAAACATCTTAGCTTTCTGTCTTCCTGTAACCTTTAATTTCAGTGGGTCAACTAAAAGGAACAAAGGAATGAAAAGTGTCCTACTGATAGGTTTATCTCCAGCACTAATGGACTTTGGCTCTGTGCCCTTTGAAGATCTCTGGGCACAGAGTGCTAGAGACTATTGATGTTCTTCCAAACCTCATCTTGAATGATTAAGCATTTCTCTAATGTGTTTTTCACATTCCCAGAAGGTTTTCTCTAGTATGAGGCATAAGCAGTAGTTTTGCATTGTCCCCATTTTAAACATGAGGAGCCCAAAGCATTGGAAAATTGTTGGATTTTATGGTTAAGATTCCCCAGATCCCACATCACACCTTTACGCTTGGCACTAGCCGAGAATGTCTTACTCAAAAATCTCTGAGCCAGTGACAACATTTTATCTAAATGTTACATGAGGTTCTAGCCACCAGCTCTTGAAGCAAACTTTACCATCATTCTTCCACATAAGCTATTGCAGGTTATACTGCATTCAAATGGCAGTCCTTTTTGGCTCAATCACAAATGCTCATTTGTGAAATGAACTTTAGGTTCTCTTTGTAGTCCCATAGAATCTACAGAGACATTTTATGGAAATACCCTTTTAATATTTATTAAATGTCCTCTGGGCACCAAGGCTTACACTCTGGCAAGAGTCAATACGGTTCTTGGTACACATGTCCTTCTAACTGGAAACACATTAGGGCCTTACTGGGGGAATATTTGAAGCATACTTCCACAGAATTTACTCACTGAAACGAACTCATAGCCAATTCTTATAGCACGAAAATATCTGAGTGGGAACCAGTAAATTTACTAGGTCTCCGCTTCCACTTGTTGGTGGCTTGAAATGATTCATATGTGCACACAAGAGGGAGATGTATAATGGTTATGAATAACAATGTTGAAATGACTTTAAATGACTTGAAAGCCACGCTCTGTAAAGCTTAAGTTTTACTGCAGCCTGGACTGGAGAGTAAAGAGGTTGAAATGGAAGACAAGTTTCACTAATAATCCTATAATGTTATCCTAATTAAGTGTTGATGTGAGAGTGGTGCAGAAAGGATGAATCGGCAAAACAGAAGACCAGACTGGCCTGAGACTGACAGAAGAAGATTGTTAGTAGAAACTTCAGCGCATGGTTTTGAGTATTTGATTATTTCAAGTTTTTTTTTGGCAGGAGATTGAAATCAATGAGAGAAATAGCAGAATTGGGAAGGAAAACCCTTTTTTTTCTGGTAAGGGTGGTGGGAGATTTTTTTTTTTTTTTTTTGCATGTGAAGTAATAGCACAACTTTCAAGTCATGATGTCTTAGACATACATTCTCAAGGCTGTCCTATCTCCTCAGAGCTCACGCTGACTTCATGAACATACAGTCCTGACTGCCAGAGCGTGGAATTTGGCTCAAAATTTGGATCTGTGTTTCTATGAAACATTTTTTTTTGCCTACTAGATTATGATGTCTCCTTACAAGCTTTTCCTACTTACCAAATATTTAACTCACCACCTCCAGAGATGTTTTTATTAAGTGCCTGTTGTTTGTTTTTATTGGATGTGGCAGTAGGTCAACCTCTCAAAGCCAGGATGGCTGACTACCAGGTCCAGTGAGTGATATTTATTCCACTGTGGCCTGGGATTGGCTCCTGAACGCCAGTGTACACCTTCAACCAAACTACCTACTGTCAGCATTCCTGGGATATCACATCACCTTGTCTAAAATGGAGCCCATAGCTAGCCCCTTCTCTTATCCATACTTAAGACATACTTTCTCCCTGCCCCCCGGCTTGTCCAATCAGGTCTCTCCCTCTCACCTAGACTCCTAGCCACCTCTGTCTGGCATCCTGCCCAAGGGCTTTTCCCATTCTAGGACAGCTTCCACATCCATTGGCTACTTTGAGAAACACAGACCAGATCACATTACTGCTTTGATTAGAATTTCTTTTACTTGTGTCTATTATGGGCTAGATTGAGCCTGAAGTATAAAGAAGAAAGATCCAGTGAGGTCCTGAATAGCATGCGGCAGATATTACCCTCCAGCCACTACCCCTGGGTGCAGCACCAACCTAGGGCTAAGGAGGTACCTTACCTGCACAGCGAATCTCAGCTCTGCCAAGGACCTTATTGTCGATCTTGTTTGGTTTGGTTTTGAGACAAGGTCTCAGTATGCTATGTAGCCTGGACTCCTGATCTTCCTGAAGCTCTTGATCATCTTGCTTTAGCTCTTGAGTACTTGGATTACAGACATGCTGTGGGGCCTGAACTCTGGGTCTGGGCACTGTCCCTCAGCTCTTCAGCTCAAGGCTAGCACTCTACCACTAGAGCCACAGCGCCACTTCTGGCTTTTTTCTTTTTGCTTTATGTGGTGCTGAGGAATCGAACCCAGGGCCTCATGCATGCAAGGCAAGCGCTCTACCACTGAGCCACCTTCCCAGCCCCCATCCTTTATTTTTTAACATGCTAAAATTACCTGGAGGAATGTTGGAAAAACTATGACAAAACCATTTAGCAAGATCTTGTGGTCCTGTGTTACATCTCAGTCAATTTTAAAGATTGCTGGTCAGAGTATACAACCACTGCAGTTTGGCAGTTCATAGCCTTAAAAATGTTAACTCTTAGACTCTACAACAGGAAAAAAAAACATTTGCAGAAGTGTTTGTTCCATTGTTCTTCAAATTAGCAGACATGGTGTCTCCAGTGGTAGAGAAGTATGTCAATTTGGCATTTTCAAGGATAACTTATTAGATAACCATACTTTCTCTGTGTGAGTAACATAAGATTTTTTATGTGTGTGGCGGATAACATGTGGCTTATCATGATGTCTCTTGTTCCCATAGTACCCTGGCTTCCCACTCAAATGCTGCTTCTTCCATAATGCTCTGGGTACCCATTCAACCAATTAAAAGGATCAGGATGATACATTTGCAAACCATTAATCAACCAGCACAAAGCCCATTGCAGGAGATATAGGAGGAGCCTTGTACTATAAAACTCACCCACCAAGAAGACTTTATTGGACTTGTCTTTTTGGGAGAGACTTTCACTGCTTTCTTTCATTTTCAAGTAAACTTGCTCTGTCTGCTTTAAAAAGGAAAAGCTGTCGATGTGAAGTAGAAAAAAATTAGAACCAAAATTTGTTGGATGATAGGAGTAAACCCGTGTAAAAAGTGCATGGGAAATGCCAACACAAATGTCAAATATTTATTTCTGAGAGCACAGTGGACAGTCAAGAGTTGAATGTTTCCTGTTTTTGTGGATTTCTAGCTGTCTTAAAAGGAATGCTTTTAGTATGACTAAACATCATCATCAACAACAACAAAACAGAAAGACCACTTTAAAAAAGAGAAGCTAACCATATCTCTCTGCTTTGTTGGATGGACGTCTTATCTCAGAAGCTAATTTCTGTTTCCTCCCTACAGTTTGAAAATCTGAACCTAGTTTCTGAGTGCCTGTTTTCCCTGGTCAACGGTGATGACATGTTTGCAACCTTTGCTCAGATCCAGCAGAAGAGCATCTTAGTATGGCTGTTCAGCCGCCTCTACTTGTATTCCTTCATTAGCCTTTTTATATACATGATTCTCAGCCTTTTCATTGCATTGATTACGGATTCTTATGACACTATTAAGGTATGCAAACTGTGTAAAATCAGACCATAGGAAAATACCGTGTTTTTATTTAAGCATGATTATTTTATTTAGCTTTTGTTGAAAATGAATCTTTTGGTTTCCTGCAGTCAGGTTGCTGCACTCTGTACCACTTAATATTCCTGCCCACATGGCTAACTAAATTTAATTGGTGAGAAGCCACCCTGAAAACTAGCTGGATAGTACCACACTTCATGCTGATCGTATAGGCCTTCCGGTGGCCATATGAAAGCAAAGGCTTCCCACTTTCCTAAACTACCTGATATGTTCCAGACTCCCTGAGGCCAAACCTAGTTATTTGAATTGTAACATGGAGGAAGATCACTTCCTTGGGTGCTGGTACCTCCACAGAAGAAAGGATGTATGCAAAACTTTCTTTCAGGGTCAGTGCCTGATCAACATGGGGTACCATGTTGATGCCTTTGGGTGCTGTCTTCTGCTCAGCCTCTTCCCAGACTAACTCAGCATAAAGCCAGTCTTGTAGGAAAATGAAGCAGTGGGTGTGTATGTGTAGATTCTAGTGTTGGGCATGGTGGTTGGTTCTAGCATCCGATGTGGCAAGAAAGAACTGTCCTCTTGTAGGAGGTCTAAATATTAAGGTGAACAACTTCACTAAGTGTGAAGGACAGGGACTTCCAGAGTCTTTGTGTCTACTGGGAAAACCTACTGACCTCTGTTCCACTCAGTGGGCAACATCCATAAAAGTAGAGCAAGTGGTTTACATTCCAGAAGATTCTGGGTGCACAAGGATATAGTGGGATATCTTCTCTGCTCTCGCGATTCGCATTCTAACTTTCTGCTGTTGACTGTTTCCTTCTTTCCCTCTGGCCACAGTTTTCCGCTCTTCCCACCAGCTCTCTTCCAGTGGTTTTCCTCTGTATTGTTCCCTGTTCCTGTGGCAGCCCTGGTGTGGCTGTTCTGGAACTGGCACATTGATTCATCATCGTCAATAGAGCTCTTTGGATCTGAGCTAGCACTGTGGGAGAGTTTTCTTTCAGCAAAGGTGGGGGGGTTTGTTGACAAAGAGAGCAATTTTTCATGCTCTATAAAGAAGGTAACAGCATTGTGTGCTTTTAAAAAAGAAATATCAGCAGAATGGGTTTCCTGAAACGGATCTACAAGAATTCCTGAAGGGATACTGCATCAAAGAGTATGAGAAAGACACCATTACCTGCCAGACCCAAGTCGGCTGTCAGAGGTCAGTATTGCATGTAATCTCCAGGTTCCTGAGGTGAGCTGCTGTGTTGCCTTAAGAAAGAGTTGATCCAATGCTCACACCATACTGTGAAATCTGCTCTTTGTGAACAATAGTTTATCCACCCAAATTGGCTTTAGAAATACGTTGTTTCTTGTAAAACAGGTTTGTGTAGAAGGCTTCATGACATAAAGTCAGGAGGTTGATCCCTTCTCCCTCTTCCTCTCCCCCCTCCCCCCCCCCCCCACCTCCAGTCATGAGGCTTGAACTCTGTGCCTGGGCTCTGTCCCTGAGCTCTTTTGCTCAAGGCTAGTGCTCTACCATTTTAAGCCACAGGGCCACTTCTGGGTTTTGGTGGTGAGTTGTGATAAGAGTCTCATGGACTTTCCTGGCCAGCTGGCTTGGAACTGTGATTCTCAGATCTCAGCCTCCTGAGTAGCTAGGATTATAGGTGTGAACCACCGGTGCCTGGCAAGAATTTCTTTTCATTTTTTCCAAATATTTGTGGTTTATAATTCAGGAGGCTGATCTTTTAAGGGAGCAAAGAAAGAGCTCAGAGTTCTCTCTCTTTTTTTTTTTGTTTGGAAGTGAGGCTTTGGGAATGTCTTATGGCAGTTTTTCTTCTCATAGTATGTGGCATGGATTGCCTCCTCCGGCAGAGAAGGAAGACTCTTTGAGAGGAAGCTGTGTGTGGCCTTGGTTGGGAGCAAGAACTTGTAGCTCTTCCTGACACATCTGAGGGTTTTGTTTTGTTTTTTGTTTTTTTTTTTTTGCTTGCTCCATTGGACTCAGAAAAGTGACTAAGACCTTAGTGGACAACATATACCATCAGTGGTTTGGGGACTGGGGATCAAATGGAGACTGTTTCCTTCCATGTGTCTCTCCATGTTTTTATCAGAAGTTATTGGTGGGAGTTTTTGTGCACTACCCTTGTTTTTCAAGAAGGTTCTTTCAGTCAAATTCCTTGAGGAAGATGGGAGAATATCATGCTACTTAAAACCATAAGATGTATTTTTTTTTCCTGCTAATCAATTCATACCACATCTTGGGATTTGAAATGATATGAGTGAGCCTATCCAAAGACTGTCTGGTAAATAAGAAATGAGGTCTTCTAGGAGAATTGAGTTTTCAAAATCACATTTCAGCTTCTCAGAGCATTAAATTGTTGTTGTGGAAGCTGGGAAAAGAGGAAATTAATTTTCTTAATAGGAAGCTGACTTCTAAGAGTCAGTCTGAATAGGGAAAGTTTCTCAGAATTGTTTTTCTAATTATGTAGTTAACTATAAGAGGGAAGAAATTGCACAGGAGAATGTGACTGTGAATTGTAAAAGGTTAGTGACAGGCTTTTTGGTACTCTAGCTTGGGACCTGTTTTCCATTACCAAAAAACAAAAACAAAAACCCTCAAACTAGAAAGTTGTTAAATGTTTTCTTGTGCAGCCATTTAGAATAAAGGTAGTTTTGAGATAGAACCAGATGCCTTATATGTTAAGAATGGGCCTGAATGGTGAAAGGAGGGAGTAATATCAGTAGACAGTTGTCTTGTTATGTGCTAAAGGCCTGTTTAGAAGATGCATAGTGGGAAGGATGGGGTGCCCAATATGAGGGATGAAAGAATTAAGGGGAATAATAGAGTCCACCAAGGAAATTACAGAACTAGGATGATAGTTTTGAAAAAAGAGTTTATCAGGGGTTGGAGGTGTGGCTCAGGTAGTAGGGTGCCTGCCAATGAGCAAAAGCATCAGGTCATCAGATACTGAGTTCAAGTCCAGGCCTCAGACAAACAAACAAGCAACAACAAAATAACAAGTGTATCAAACACATAGAAATGGTTCTTGCCATGTTAGTGGGATTAACGCACCAAAACCTAGATACCAGGAAGATCTGATGATTCCTGCAGAAAGTATATGAGTCGTGGAGTCTGATGGGAGGGGGAGATTGCAATGAGACCTTGAGAACAAGTGATTGTGCTGGTCCCATCGGAGATTATACCAAGATGTATTCAAAGGCTAAAAAGGAAAGAACAGAATGAAACTGGGAAGGATATGGAGAATAAGTACATATTGGAAAGGGACCTTGCTGAGGCAACTTGGGTAATAAAAGCTCTGCAAAGATTTGTGTCAGATGACTGTCAACCCCCTCAGCTCTGCCCCCTGCAGGATGTGAATGTGATTGCTCTTTTTCAACAAAGCACTCTGGCAATGCCCGCCTATGAATTCCCTTTGAATTGCTGACAGAGCTACTAGCCTGGTCATCAGAATACCTGGGTTTTGTTTTAGACTCTGACGCTGATCACTTGTGTCCTATGACCTCTCCTAAACCTCTCTGTTTCTTCAGTGTTACCAGGGTAAGCCAGGTGGCCCATGAAAGCACTTCTAGGCTAAAGGGATGTGGTATTTTGGAGAAGGATGTTTTATTGAGCAGTTGTAAGTTAAGTTTCCTCCTTCTTTATTGCAGTAAAGGAAGAAAACCAGCCCTTGTGACTATTGATAAGGCTTTATTATGAAAGAGGGATGGAGGGTCCTAAGAGATGAATGGCTGCTCACAATTTGTTTCCAGAAACGTGCACTAAACCTCAAATAATGCAAACTTCCCTCCTTTTACGTTGTACTCCTGTTGCCCGTGTGTGCCTAGGATGTAGAGTATTCTGATGACTTACTGAAGGGTTTTTTTTCTTTAACTCATTGCTCTTCTTTCTCTTCCTCTTCCCTGTTTCCATTTGTAGGAAAGGAAGTGATGATGACTTGATGCTTATTAATTAAAGTCCTTCAGCTATGGACAACTGTCAGGCTCCTTATGCAGTGGAAATGCAGAGGTACCCCAGATGTCTTGGACCAGTAGGTCCGAAAGGATTGGCTTATTTAACTGTGCATTAAGCAAGAAGACTGTCAGCTGGCTAATCGGAACCAAAGTTTCAAAGTCACTTTATGAACTTGGTGGATAAAAACAAACTGCAGGCTACTACAAAACATTAGTGCAATTGAAATATGGACAATGGACCCAGGTGCTGATTGCTCAGGCTTCTAGTCCTGTCTACACAGGTGACTAAGATTCAAGGATCATGAATTGAAGCCAGCATGGGCAGACATTCTACATGACTCATCTCCAATTAACCACAAAAAAGCTGAAAGTGGAGCTCTGTTACAAGATTTAGAGTGCCATCCTTGAGCAAAAAGCCCAAGGACAGTGTCCTGACCATGAGTTCAAGCCCCAGCATGGAAACAAAAAGGGCAATGAAATTCTCCATTAATTTGATAACTCAGGACAGGATAATGTGGGGATGGAAACCCCTTTCCCCTTTTCTAGTATGGAAAACAAGGTGTTTAAAGCCATACAGTATGTTCATTGTCATGAAAAGATTTTTTTTTTTCTGAGTGATTCTTGAGTAGAAGACATTTTAAAATTCATGATCTTCGCAGTTCGCTGCAATATCAAATTAAGATACCAAGCTGGAGGAGTATTAAGCCATGTAAAGATAGCACTTAAGCCAGGTGCTGGTGCCTCACACCTGTAATCCTAGCTAATTAAGAGGTTGAAATCTGAGTATTTTGATTTAAAGTCAGCCAGGGTGGGAAAGTCTATGAAACTTTTATCTCAAATTAACTACCAAAAAACCAGAAATGGAGCATTGGCTCTAGTGGTAGCATTAGCCTTAAGCAAAAAACTCAACGACAGTGCGTAAGACCTGAGTTCACACCCCAGGATTCACATACACACACACACACACACACACAAATTAAAAATGCATTTAAATCAACAGGAGACAATAGATATCTATCTTACAATAGATATTTCTTGGTCTGTTTTCCCATGGGTTTTCTTCCTCATCATGATATGGAGTGACAACTGGCAAACTCAGTGGGATGAATTGGAAACAAAACATTTGCACACCTCCTCATTTGTCCTAATCCTGACTGGAGTCACACAACACATGGCAATCACCTATATTCACAATGGGTCTCCACTGCATTGGGGATTTAACATTGGCAAGCAATTTTTCTTTAAATAAATTTATTTTCATCATATAGTGGTGCCATTTGTATTTATTAAAATGCATTATCTCTTAATATCTGAAAAATTAGGAGCACATTTCTATAAACTACGTGTCTAAAAAAATTTCTAATTTTTAAAAAGCAGTGATAGGGGTTAGCATATAGGAGTGATTAAATATTTAGTGATGATGGATTAATATTGCTCATGCACAGATTTATATTTGTGCAATCTCAAAGGTCAACGACTTGAGTTTGTTGGTGAAGAATGAAAATGAATTAAGCAGAACCCTTATCTCAGGGCAGATGCTCTATGGCTGTACATTCCTAGCCCTTCTTATTTTTATTTTTTATATTTTTGGGTCCAGTCGTGGGGCCTGAACTCTGGGCCTGTGCGCTGTCCCTCAGCTCTTCAGCTCAAGGCCTAGCCCTTCTTTATGATGGTTATTTTTGAGCTAGGTAGCTCACTTCTCTGTCCAGGCATGTGCCTGGACTTGATCTTCCTATTTTAGGATTCCTATTGTACGTACGATGACAGATACATGACACCACACCTAGCTACAGATTGAAAAGGAGTCTTGGGAACTTTCCTAACCTGGCCTGCCTCAAACTACAATTTTCTCAAACACAACAGCCTACAATGATATGTGTGTGCCACTTTACCTAGCTATGGGTTGAGACGGAGTCCCATGAGCTTTTTTGCTTGTTCTTGAACTGTGATCCATCTGTTTCCAGCTAATATTATACGTCAGTGGTGCTGTGGCTCAAAGTGGTAGAGTGCTAGCCTTGAGCAAAAGAACTCAGGGACATTGCCAAGGCTCCAAGTTCAAGCGCCATGACTACCACCACCAACAACAACAAAAGCATATATCACTAGCACTTGGCTTATGTTTGCTTTTTAAACAAGACTGTTAGACTGATAGATTTTGACTCCTTTACATGACTCCAGAATCAGCTATGTGGTTAGACCACTTATTAACTTGAGTACAGCTCCCTAATCCTTGTCTTTGAACAGAATTGCTTCTCAACTAGTCCAAAGCTGTGAGTGCCATTTGAATAGTGTTACTCTTTTACTAGTTTCCATGTTTCTTTTTATTTTTTTCCCCCTCCAGTTTGACAAAACCCTTTCAGGTAGGAAACTCTTTTTTTTCCTCAAAGTTACCCTGAATTGGTGGAAACATTATTTTCTTCATTTTACGTAATTTCAGACAATTGTCACTTTACCAAGTGTATTATTTGGATTTTATTGAACAATGTTGCCTCAAAATTCTGCTAATCCATACATCTAAAACCATTTTCTCTCTTTTCTGCTAGCTCCACTTGAGGAGTTTACTGTGAAAGTGAGGAGACATTCTTTCTGCCTTACTAGTTTTATTATGGAGTCTCCACCCCTTCTAGAATTTACCTTCCTGACTTGCAGTGACACAGTCAAAGGCAAATGCAATGTCTTCAGCTCGTTGACCTGAAATGGGAGGAGAAAATGTGGCCATGGAAACCTCTGGAGTGAAAATTCTAACTCAGCCTTACCACAGAAACTAGACAAGCTTAATAATAATAAATCTCAATAAAGTGTGACAGTTAAGTCACATTGCTCATCCAAAATCTGGCATGAAATGAAACCTAGCCTTTCTTTCCCCTTGATCTTCTGCCGTGTTTCCAAGTAGCTCCCTGGAAGTGCTGCAGACATTAAGAGCATGGCTTCCACAGCTAATCTGCCTGCACTTTCCTCCTCCTGAGTCTCCGTGGACAGGACACATGCCTCAGTCTCCCCAGGTATAAAATGGAGATTGTGAGAATTTACTTTCAATGAGTGAAATAGTAAAGTGTATATAACAGAACATGGCTCTTTAAATGCTCAGTGATGATTAGGATTCAGTAAAAAAAAAAAAAAAAAATGCTTTCCTTGCATGGTCTTCAACTGTAAAAGTCTCACCTGGACTAGCCATGAAGATAGATCTTTGTTTCGATGGACTTTGTTTTTGTTAGGACTTGAAGCATGCAGAAGTTCCTCATTAACTCTGTCCTGGAGGTGGTTATCATTTCAACCCCAATGAGTGTACACCTAGCTGTGGAGGAATGGCATGGCAAAGCAGCCTCCATATTCTGTCATATAGCTGTCCTGATGGAACAGTAAGTGTACTGGAGAGTCACACATCCCTGGTCCTTCCACATGGGGAGACCCTCAGTGCTCTACCAGGGGCCTTTTGCTCTTACCAGTCTCCCCAGAATGTGCCAAGTACAGGCCAGATTGCTTCATGGCCTGTGCTGATCCAACATGGTGAAATGTGGACAGGTGATGGAGATATTTAGCCAAAGCCACATTGGATTTCTGCTACTTCCCTAACTCCTGTGGAGGGCCTATACTGTAATATGTGCAAGAAGTGCACCCTGACCAGAAGTGCACACTGACCAGGTGGAAGCCCACGCTTGAAGCCTGGAAAAACATTTTGGCTTAGCTTTGTAACCAAGGGATGAATAGACAGTTACCTGCTAGTCTGTGAGGAGTCAAGCTGAGTTAGAACAAAAAAAAAAAAAAGATTTTCAAAGAGCAATTTTAGGTCTATAGCAAAATAGGGAGGAAAATGCAGACAGCCTCCATAAATTCCCAACTGCCACACGTGGCCAGCCTCTCCTCTCATCATGTCCTACACCAGAAGGGGACATTTGTCCATCCTATTGGTGAACCTACCTTGGCTCATCATCCTGGCTTTGTAGTTTACATTAGGGTTCACTCTTGGTTTTGTGCACTTCTGGTTTTGTAATATGTTCCCACCATGCTAGGATGTGGGATAGTCTCACTGTCTTACAAACTTGCTTGCTCATTCCTTCCACCTTCTTGCTCCAATCCTTAGCAACGACTGCTCTTTGTGCTGTCTCTACAGCCTGTCCTTTCCCAGAACATAATACAGTTGGGATCCTACAGCCTACTGCCCTTTCAGATTGGCTTAATATTTACTCGTATTTTTTTAGTTTCCTCCATATCTTTTCATGAGACTGTGTGTTCACAAGGGACACTGTTTTTTTCTGTCCCCCATAAACATGTGGTCATGTCAGCTGTTTCTCAGCCAGCCAAGACAAAGATTAAACATCATGGTGAGTGAGTTGGTGAGCAGCCATGTTTTTGGGGCAGGCTGGGTGCTCTGATGCTCTCCTTTGGCTCATTTCCTCCATCCTTCAGACAAAAGCCTCACTTTCTGGATTTCTATTTCATGTTTTTCCCTTGACACAGAATGAATGTAGAGTGATATGACTTCTAAACTCAAGTCGATCTGTCCATTGCCATCATCTTCAGACTTTGTGCAGTGATGTCCTCTGAGACCTGCCCAATACACTGGACCTACAAGCATTCCCTTCAGTAACTTTTGTTTGTTTGGTTTTCGTGGTACTGGGGTTTGAACTCAGAACCTCACACTTGCTAGGCAGAGGTTCAGCCATCTGAGCTACACTTCCAGTCTCCTTTATCTTTATGTTATTTTTCCAATGGTCTTGCATTCTGACTGGTGCTGGCCTACGAACTCAGTCCTCCTATCTATACCTTCCACACTGCTGGGATTACAGGTTTGTGCCACCACACCCTTCTCCAGTGATTCTTTTTACAGCTTTTAGTCTGAAGGGCCTATGTGTGAATGAGAACCAGTAGGACTAATTAAAGATGCTGTGTCTTGGAGAAAAGAGCATATTAGCATCGGGAGGACTTAAACCAAATTTCCAAATAGACACTCAAGTAGTTAGGGAAAACAATTCAACTCATGTCTGTTCTACTTTGGGGTCATTTATAGCAAATGCTGCTGTAAACCAGTGCGTGAAATAATGGAAATTGTGTCTCTTGCCATCTGTCTCTGAATGGATGACTGTGAACATGCCACACCACCTTACATAACAAGGACAGCAACACTCTGACTTCTTAAAGACTCCTGGGAGTTATTGGCTATGGTAAATGTGGGAGATAATTTATTAG